AAGTCCCAACCTTCCGGGCTTTTGCTTAGGCATAAGTCCCGATGTTCTGGTGTTCATTTAGGGCTTAAACCCAGAGAACTTTTTCAATTTTGAGTTAAAATTGCTTAATATATCCTTTTTAAAATACTTTAATATTCTAAAGTTAACTCATAGTAAATTTTCAAACAAAAAGAAAAAGAACTCAGAAGTTATAGGTCCTTTCTAATTGTTTAACCTAATTTCATAATCTTCTCTTTCTTGTTTACTGAGTAACAAATACTCTTTTGACTTTTGTCTGTAAAGTGCAAACTACATAGTTTGTTTTATTAAAAGAGGTTCTACCAGAGGCCTAACTAATGTTTTATTAAGTTTGTTTTTATTGTCTATAGTTGTTCCTTTAGAAGTTGTATCTGCCAAAAATTTCTCCAAATTGTGAAGATAATCCAATATGGAGGAGAAATTGATCACTAGCTTTTATATTTTCTTGTGTGCGTGTGTTTCTCCTCCCCTGTGACCACGTTTTAACATGGATATTTGTGCATGCTCACTTGTGGAAAAAAGGTTGACACTATTAATTTAAAGTTTGAGCAAAGGATCAAATTCTCCTTATGCGCTTGACTCTTCTGATATTGCTTATCTGGACATCGCTAAGTGGTTTCCTCTCCATCTCTGAATGTCTTTGGTTTAACTAATTGCAGCGTGGAACTTCAAAAGAGATCTAAGGAGGTGCCTCATAAGGAAGCAACAGATGAAGATGTGGTTCGGAGATCAATGCGTGTCCGTGCTCCTCCAAGGGATAATCCTGCTCTTGCCTTTTTGAAGTATGTTAACAAATGGAAGGAAGACTGACTTGGAAGTTAGGCTATGGTGATATACTCTGCTGTTCGGATTTTGTTTGAAATCACAGCCAACCATAAATACGAGATGAATATAGGGTAATGAAATTCATCCTGCATTTATTAAAATGGCAGTTCATTTTTTTTTCCTTCGCATTTGAACGCTGGGCATGATAGGAATGAAATTTTGTTCTTCATTCCTGTGATTATGGTACAGATGTAAGGTTACTGTTCCAATTTTGTATACAATGCCCATCGGCTGGTAGATGTTTTATTAATATAGTTGCTAGCATCAGTACTTTCCTCTAATAATTTTGTCTATCTACATTTGATCATATTGTGATAAGAATGAAATACATATCATTTTATACAAGAAAGTATCATTTTAAGCTGATTGGTTCGCTGAAACACGCAAGTAGAGGCTATAGAAAATGTTTGAAACACTGGTTTCAACCAGAGTAGATAGCACTAGAGGTCTGTTAAGTGTGTTTTATTGCAAGTAACATCTTCGACCAGAAAATGCACTTTAAATGACTCATTGACATTTAAAAATGAAGTCAGAGGCCTCTACTGTCTTTTCTTGAGGAGGTCAATCTTATTATTTTTTTTTTTTAAACTCTTTCAGACTAAAAGAAATTTTGATGTTATCAGCAATATTCTGGGGGAAGGATTTTAACTTCAAAGATGTTAGTGCTAATGTTGTTTGGGCTTCCTTTTAACTTCTTCAACCTTACAAAAGTACACGAGTGTGAAATTTTTGCTGCTTGTCCTTTTTTTAGTAGTTGTTTAATAACCTTTTTATTTCTGTTGCAACTGATAGACTTTTTAGATCACGGTCTAAAAATATTTTTTGAGCAAACTGAAAATGTCATGAGAAAACATCACTGCAGCCTAAAAATATGTACGTTAGACCACAAAATCTAATATTTTATGAGCAAATTGAAACTTATATGAGCATACTTTATATCTTAAACATTGTCCGGAAGGGGTAATTTTCCGAGGGCTAAAGTTGTGTCCGAACAATGGGCTAAAAAAGGGGCATTTGCCTAAATCAGTCTACACTAATCGCCAGGGAGCATAACCTATTGGAACATAACTGGAGATAAAACCACTCTACACCGGCAAAATTTCTGAGAATAATTTATTTGGAAAGCACTCATTTGAAAATTCGCTTTATTTCTTTTTACATTATGTACAGGTCTTAACCGTTTGCTTCATTAAACACCAACAGTAACATTTGCTAGCATCTGATCACAAGAAAACTGAAGTTTACATGAATGTCAAATGGGTGATGCTTTCTGTAGATGTCACAATTACATTATCTCAACAACACAGCGTCCAGAAATGGCTCCCTGATCAAGATCTTTGTATGCCTGTTCGGCCTCCTCGAATTTGCATGTCCTTGAAACAGCTGCAGTTAGATTGAATATGCCACTTTCGGCGAGTTTAATCAGCTTAGGGAGATCTTGTCTTGCTCTGGCTCCATAAGAACCAATTACTTTTATCTGGCATCATAAATATCAACAGTGAGAATGCGAGCGCTGCTTAAACTCTAAAGAAAACACAACTGTGCCCATAAAATTTATAATCGTATGACCTTACCTAAACATAATATGAATTTTCATGCTCCAAATATAGTAATAAATTCCCAATGTATATGGACTATTTTCACCTTTCGTAATGAGTTGAAATTCTTATTAATATACACCAGTATGGTGTTTGATGTACCATTTTAATGACTTAACTATCTGTATGTTTTAAAAATCGACATACAGCATATTTTTCTAACAGAACACAGACTAGGCCCATGTCAATTCATACACTGAGACACTGACATGTTGAATAAATAAATAAATTCATACACTGACATGGCAAGTGATGTGAGTGTCCACTCAATGTATGGGCAAAAATGAGCATTGAATTCACTCTAAGCTTGGCGTGTATGGGCAACCAGTATATGCAAAGTTATTCTTGTAGTCAACCTATCCCATCTATGAGGTCCACTAAAACTTCTGTATCACCTTGCAGTAGAAATTACAGTCCAAATTACATGCACTGGATGGATATTACCCTTTGTTATATTTACCCCTTAAAATCTTCATTCTAACAGAATGCGTTTTCAAAAGTATCTGCATGCATATGAAGAGTAAAAATGACCCATCATTTTCATTCAATGCATAACAATTTAAGACATATCAAAAGAGGGAACGGATCTTTAGGATTAGCAGATTGGAATTGAGGGTGACAACTGACAAGCAATAAAAGACCTCCTGCACATGAAAACACACCTGTCGTCGCACTAGGTGGTTTATATCCACCTCCCCTTTAGCACCAGATAGAGTCAGTCCGATCATCACAGCTTTGCCTCCATCCCGAACGCTCTGCACGCATTGCAAGAATGTTTGTGGTTTCCCCAAAGCTTCAACAGCTACGTCAACACCCATGCCTCCTGTGATGTCCTGTACAATTCGAATAGCTGATAACATTAGTTTAAGCAGTTGGTATGTTCTCACATGCCAAGGGAAACATTTGCTTAAGAAGAAGAACCTAAAACAATCTGAAAAGCCAAAAACTATGGATCTCCCAACAAACGCACATGTAGGACATTTGAGAATGTTAAAGGAAAAATTCAAATACAAATAAACAAAATGCCAAACAGCTACTAATTACATGCTATTTGTAATAGGTGGAATGTCTTAATTAGTCTTATATTCATGAGCTTTCCTCAACTATTGGACCATAATGATAGTTGCAACACACTTTTTGTCAGCAGTTCAGGATTGAAAAGTTAATAACTGGTGAATAAAAGCAAAAGAAATTATCTAATAATGTACCAATAGTTAAATAGTACTAGCAACCAAGGGTATGGCCTAGTGGTCAATGAAGTGGGAGGAGAACCTTGAGGTCTTAGGTTCAAATCCCAACGGAAGCAAAACACATCAGGAGATTTCTTCCTATTTGCCCAAGCCTTGGTGGGCAGAGTTACCCCGTACCTAACTGTGCCGATGAGAGGTAACATGTACCCCATGGAATTGTCAAAATACGCACAAGCTGGTTTGGACACCACCGACGTTTAAAAAAAAAAACTAGTTCATTAGGACGGCCTTGCCATTAATCACCTGAAAGTCCGAATTCTCTATCATACTGACTTTTACCCATAGGCGTGAGTGTGTGACATAGTAATCAAACATCAAATAGAGCAATATTATACAAGGAGATTAACCAGAATGGAGATACCAATAGACAAAGTAAAGCATCAGAAACATAAGGAGCAAAAACTAGCTAGAGAGAATGATGGAAAACAGAAAGATGTTAATGAAAGGAAGAAGCTGCTGCACAGCCAGTCTCACCGATAACTAATTATTTAAGTCATGAGATTTCACTTAAACAAGATTTGCAGCCTGTATTTGACAAAATCCAAAGAAAAATGTAAATAGTAGACAGAAACTTAGTGTGAAAACAGCCCTTCCTGAATACACAAGTTGGCTAACAAACTCAAGGTCAAAATTCAAGTACTCGCAAATTCAGAATCCATCTATCTCACTTGGAATAATTTCATGGTCCAGTTGCACAGCATTTTCCTATAATTTTCTACAACAGAGCACATAGAGATGTACTCTTGGCCTTGATGTATATTACCATACGATCCATGTATTTATCTAGAAATCAGACAGAGTAAAAATTATATGGTTTTTGATAGTTAATTTGATAGTATGCACATAATGAGTTAAGTGGAGAAGTCTATACTTTTATTCTCTTCACTGCGTCCTCCTTCAATGCATTTACACAATGAGTGGCTCCAAACATTTTAGCTTTCTGCAATTTCTCATCTTGCACATCTACTGCAATAATCTCTGATGCCCCAAATGCTCTTGCTATTTGCAGACAGCTGCACCATGTTTTCAGGTAATAAATCATAGAAGCAAATCAGCATAAAAGTAGCAAGCTTAATACAGAAAACCCACCCAGATGATAGTAGGGGTAAGAACGGACAAAGATAAAGTATGAAGAAGAAAATGGTATCCTAAGAAACCAACTGTGAATGTTAATGCATAATAATGAAGAACAGAACATGACATTGAATAAATTGCCCGAATTAAAATGGAAGTTACTATTTAGATATATTCAGTGCCTCATGACCGCTGGCATAATGTGGGTATGTCAGAAACACTGAACATTTTGTCTTTACTCATTTCATAACTCTTAACATTAATCAAATTAAGATGGTCCACGCTCGTGCTAGGTCTATCGCCTAATCCAGTCCCTTTGTATTCGGCCTGATGGCTACAGGATAATAAGGTCCAATAGGGTTTAAATGACTGATGCAGGAGCCTGCTATGCCTTGGCAAATTATCTTTTCATTTCAAAGTACCGCCAGAACAGCGGTCTAAATAGATCAGAATATTAAATTTGGGATCTTCCCACTCGGCAACAGGGTAGCAAAAAATGAATTGCCAAATGGACGCCTATTTCATATCTTGATGTGACTCATCCACACGTTCTATATATTTGATGTGAAACAGATCCCAATTGTCATGCACTAGAGAGAACATCGTGCACATTTGGCTGTGTTTGTATCTGCTATGTGATAAAGGTCAGAAAAGGAAACTGACTACTGCAACAGGGCCAACTGTGTGTTAGACATGTTTCAAAGTGCATCCACACATCAAATTTGAGCGGATATTAATCCTTTTTTAACTATATATCGATGGTAGTTTTTCGTATTTTTATTAAATTTCCTAATCAATATATGATTCATATCAACAATTCTCCTAGCACACACAGTCTCCAGTATCCTAAGGCAACAATGACATTAATTCTCAACACTTTTGTCCGCTTACACAAAACTAATTTTTTGACTCTCGTAAGTTCAGTATTTGGAAAAACTTGTGTAGTTTATTTTCCCTAATCACTATATGATTCATCTCAACGATTCTCCCATATGGCACTCAGCCCCCAATATTCAAAGGCAACGATGAGATTAATTCTTAATACTCCTGTCAGCTTACACAAAACAAATTTATCTTTCTTTTTTGACTGGGAAGTTTAATATTTGGAAAATCTGCGCCTCCTATTTTGACTTGATTCTAAGAGCTATTGGTATCTGAGTTCATAATCAGAAGTTGAATACAAAGCCAATGCATGATAACTTTTCACCTTGAGCCAACACCTCCTATGCCAATCACGGCAATAGCATCACCTGGGCGCACCTCTGCAGCATGAGCCATAGCCCCATAGGCAGTAAAAACTGCACATCCTAAAATGGCAGATTCTGTATATGGCAATGAATTTGGTAGAACAGCCAATGCATGTGCTGGCACAACGCAGTATTCAGCAAGACCTCCCATGCTATACATATACACTGGCTTACCTGAAAGATAACAATATGTACCAAATATCTTAATATTAACAACATTGGGCAATTGACGAACTACATTGGAAGAGAAGAATAAGGATTTGATGAAAAAACACGATAAAAGTTTCATTCATGTATCACTATGCCAGCAACCCTAGACAGCCCAATAGCCGATCTGAACACCAACCATCTTAGCTTTCAAATGGTGGTCCATAAAGGATCATACTCATAATACATATCAGTTAATCACTTATGCCTCATCCCCAAACTAGTTGGGGTCCATTATATGGAGCTTTTGAACCCTCATATCTCAAAAAATAGAAGAATAAAATACACATCGAAACTGTTGACACGAAGCATGTGGGTGTGCTTTTGAAGGTGAACAAATTTTAACTAATAATTACTATTATTCTGAAATACGGTTTTTTTTTCTATTAAAAAAGCAAGTATTATATTGATGTATTTTTGGGAAGAACCCCATGAACAAGCGGTATATATGATTTATTACTTGTACCTATTACTTTTTGATAAATGGACCTTGGGCCTAACTCAACCCCAAAAAGAGATCATCCATCCCTTTATGGACCGATTTAGGACTTTTCAACACTTCCTCTTCTTTTATTTAATTCAAAAAGCTCAACAGAAAATCAAGAATCTCCCATGTCAAAAAATGATCTTTAATTTACTGCAGCAGCCTAAAGGAACAAAAATCAGTTTTCCTTTGTCCACCACACCAACTTTAACTCTTTTTATTTTTCTTGTGGGTTAACAAGAATCCAGATAAATAAGCCACATTAGCCTCTCTTTTTTTACTGAGGAGTAAGCCACATTTAGCTTTTCTGGCAAAAGAAATCAGTTTACAAGAATTCCAAACACTAATGCTTTACAATAAGACTGATCGAAAGATCAGAATACCTTATAGGGGTAAGAGGAAAATATTAGTACTGCTGATCAAAATGAAGCGAAAGGTTCCAAATAATCAACCATTTCTGTGAAATGGCCGAGGAAACTATCGGTCTTGCGGATCACAATGGAGAGCAAGGTTCCAAGAAAGCAATGGCACTTGAGGCAAAGAACTGACCTCTCCGTGTCCCCTTACAAAGAGAAGAAAAAGCACAGCATACTAAACTGTTGCATCGAGGGCTCTGGGGAGGATAAAAATGTATAAGGTCTTACCTTAAAGAGGAAAAAAGAGGCCTTTCCAAGGCTTAGACAATCACCTTTATGTCAGCACTGGAGATATCTTACCATCATATGAAGGTCTCTTTCTTTCAGTCCAATTTGGAACCAAACACTTCTTTTTTAAAAATAATATATTTTATAAAATATTTGGGCAAGAGTATACATGAAGTATAACAAAAAGTAGAAAACCTACAAAAGATACGATTTTTCATGAACGACGCCCATTCTTCTATACAAATAGGAACAACATGAGTGGACCAAAAAGAAATAAGGGGCAAGAGGTTGCTCCTTAATTCGGAACCGNACACTGCTGAAGAATAACACTTGCAATATGTGATAGCAGTTCTAACTATATTAACATACTTCTTCCCTGTGTCCTAAATTCTTCAATAAAAGTTAACTCCAAGTAGCAGTTTTTAACTCTTTTTTTCCTTTTAAACTAGGTGATATGGGTTCAAAATATCCTGGACCACCTATCGATGTCTTCCATCTCAAGCAAAAAGTAACATCCGCCAGAACTAGTAATACAGCAAGAATGGAAAAGAAATTTGACACCCAAACAAAGTCCTTGACAGTCGCAAAGAAAATAAATCAGTTTGATTCCCATATAAATGAGACTTTGCTGAAGAAAAATTCCAACGAAGACCTATACTGATTTTAGGACAATGATAAGCTATCTGTTTAGTAGCTAAAACAAACTACTAGCATAGCAAAAAGGTAGCAAATTGAACATTTGATGCATATTGCATTAACGAAATATGCTTGACCTGAATGCTTGAGAAGACTGTACGTTCAATTGTGAAACTCAAATAGAAACCAGAAAAATTTGCAAGTAATAACAGCCTGCTTACCGCTATTGCGGAGGAACAGACGTGTTTCCCCGTCATAAAGGGTTCCCTTCGCTCGGTTATAAGCAAAGAAAGCCTCGCATAAGTCATCTTGACCCTGTGTTCATTAGATAACTATGGCATCAAAGATTTGGCATGACTGCATCATGATAAGCAAATATTGTCAGCTTCATAAACAAACAAATCTAACTATTGTCACCTTAGAGCAGAAGAAACAGCTACCACAAGGCATAATGAAAGCTCCAACAACTTGAGATCCCACAGGATATCTGAAAAATTATAACAAAAACTGCTCATCATTGACTCGCAGAGAACAATAGAACACAGCACTTTTCAAGAAGATGTAATTGTTTTAACCTTTCAATGATTTTACTGTCTGTGAGCTGCCCATGTTCAACCACTTCACCAGTAATCTCATGCCCCACAACACAAGGGCTAGCAAATGGAAGTTCACCTTTTATTACATGCAGGTCAGAGTGGCAGACCCCACAGGCTGCACTTCAAAAACACAACACAGTAACTCTTTAATCATGGATTTAAGTAATATACACTAAAGATTTGTTTACACTATCAGCGTCTTTTAACCTGATATAGTAGGTTAGTTACCAGGCTTATCATAAGCTTTGCCTTTAATTACCTTACAAGTGACTTGACTGAGTAAATATTTTGTACACCGTCCGTGCATATAACTTAAACTTTGTTATCATATCCTTAAAATATAGATAGAATTGCACTCGCATATGAAATAGAACCATACAGGAAATAACTTGCAATGCAGTTCAAAAAGACACCTTTTTTCTGGGCAATTTTCCAAAGACTACTCCATCTGTTCCCAATTTATGTAATGCACTCTCCTTTTTAGTTATTCAGAATGATAAATTTCTATATTTAGAAAAAATTACTTTAGACTTTTCATTTTAACATTAGTGAGAGGATTTATAGTTATAAATAAAAAAGTATCCATGGATTATTTAGATCACAAATTTCAAAAGTCTTTTTTTTTTTTCTTAGATCACATTTTCTTGGGTTAACGAGTAGAAAGAGTAATCACCTTTAGTTTTGATGAGAACTTCATTAGCTTTAGGGCGAGGCATGTGAAAGTCCTCAAAAGTGAGGGGTTTGCCCGGTTCCCAAAACACAGCAGCGCGCATATGAGATGGCCCACCGCTTAGATGGTAGTACGATGACGCTGATGCTGCTGTACTCTTCTCGGATTCGGAAGTCGAATTATTGGAATCGGAACAAAAGGGTCGATTCCAATCGCCATTAGAAGAAGCACAGAGTGTTGATCTTGCTGATGAAAGGCCAAACTTTAATGGTGATGTGATTCGGCTGGTTTTAATGGCGCTGCGGAGAAACCGAGGGAACGACATTGTTGAGTTAATAGCCTTGAACAGTAGTGTCTTTTTCTTGTTCTAAGTGGACAGTCCACTGTGCAAAATGTTTATCCACTCATTCGAAGCGACTTCTTACTATTTTATTATTCCTCGGTTAATTTTTTTTTTTTTAATCGGAGGAACAAAGTACTGAATCTTAGTATATGGTGACAGTAAAATCACTCAGCTATTTACAATACCCGTCGCGTATTTAAGTTATCTGCAAAAAATTCTATCCATCGCTGTATTACTCGTGTTAACTTGATCATTAAAAATATAACAAACTAAATTTTAGACTATTTATTTTAAAAATAACTTTGGAAAAAACACATTGTGGATTAAAAAAAACCAAAAAATGTGGAGCGTGTATCGTATTAACATAATGGATAACATTCAGAAATGGGTCAATTTTTAAAGTAGAAGTGATAGCACAATGTATAGGATCTCTCCTATTTTCATAAAAAAAATTACTTTAGATAAAAAAATATCTTCAACATCTTATTCCTTTTCTTTCTTTATTTTTCTTTTCATCTATGTCCTTCTGCTTAAAAAAAAAAGGAAGTTCTTATTTTTTTTTAAAATTATATTCTTCTCTGTACATATGTCTAAGGACGATTTAATCATTTGATGTATTTGACTGTGCCGGTTAAATAATATATGCTTTTCATATGAATTAAATTGTATTGGAAATCATTGACTCAGAATGAATATGAAATAGGAACAAGTGAACAAGATGTGTATATGGTTGATGTTTATTGCTGGGTTTCATGGAAATAGTGCAAAACCCAATTGTTTGTCAAGGTAGTGTTCTTTCTTTTCAGTTTTTTTCTCTTTTTTGTTTTTATGAAAGTATTTGATGGATTTGTGTGACTTTCAAAAATGAAGAAATTGCTTGAGAGAAAAGACAGAGAAAATAAGTTTCTTTTAAAGTGGTTGAAGGAAGAGTTAGGCGAGAAACATTGAGTTTTGTGAATGAAAATTAATGAAAATATTGAGGTGGTAAGTAGTAACTGGTAAGAAAGATGAACAGGGAGATCCATCAGTGAAAAATAAACATGGAAATATAGCAGAAAGAGAAAGGAAAGATATAGCAAATTAATATTAAGGCGGGTCCCACAATTCCAAATGTCAATTAGTAACACCCTCACACAAGTATGACATGACATATCTCACACATCATAAAATTTCTCCTCTCCTACGGTGATATCGCTAATTTGCTAATGGGCATCAACCTTCATGAATCTCTGAAAGCTAAACATAAATTCCAGATAATTGTTATTAGGAAATTTTACCAAAGTGTACACCCTATTTATTATAAATTAAAATTATTTTAAAATATTATATTTTATAGATACTTTTTATATTTTATAGCAAAATAGGTATTTATGGTATATACTACTATTGAGGCATGAAATACATTATTTATATTTTTTCTCTTTCTTTCTTTCAATTAACACACGATTCTCTCTCAAAATTTTTCTTCTTTCTCTCTCTTCGAACAAAATACTTGATTCTAATCGTGAATTCTCTGGCCGGATAAAAATTATACTCGTATTTGGTTGCTAAGTTAAACACCTAAATAACCAAAGGAAAACTACGGGGAAACACCATACATAACTAAAAACCTGATTCGTATGGATCTTCCTTTTTGGTTGAGCGCACCACTGAGAAGAAACATAATCAGCAGTCGTATAATCGGAGTAGTGCTTCACATTCAGGATTTGTACTGCTTAGTTTCTACGCCGGATATTTGCAATGAATTTGTAATGCAATATTAGAAAGAAAAAGACTGTGACTTTCTTCTACGCCGGATATTGCAATGGATTCCTCTACACGAATACTGCAATATTTTTTATGCCGGAGAAGATTTGAGGGACGGGATTTCTGTTCGTCTCCATTTTTAGTTTTAATACAATGTATACAATATTTTGTTTGGCCGGAAAATGCCATCTCCGTCGAACTTTCTTCTCTTCTTTGCTATATAGTCACATACAATGATACAAACACATTGTATTTTGTACAAATTCACTCAAATACATTATATTTTTATATAAATACATTATTTTTTTCTTGTATTTATGTATTTCGAAGGTTAGTATATTTTTAATACAACTGAATAGACATGTATTCATGCATGAATACATGATATAAACATTGAAATACACTAAATGCAAACATTAAAATAGAACAGAATATAAACAGTGAATATATTTAATTTTAAAATATAGTGAAATACAGTAAAATACACTAAATACAAATAGAAATACAGTGAATGTAACCAATGAAATATATTGAATACAACAATAATAACTTATATTAGGAATAACTAAAATATTGTTAATACAAATACATTTGAATACACTAAATATAAGATAGCAAATACAATAAATGCAAAAATTGAATCTAATGAATGCAACAGTAAAAAATAAAAATATTGAAACACACTAAATATAAAAGTTAAATACAACTGAAAATTCATTCTAATTAATTGGGTTGATAATGAGGCATGTTAGAATTGATTTTGCTGAGTTATATTAGGAGTGTATCACGCTAAGTGATATTATTTCCGTTATTAGACAGCTGGACATATTGTCACGACCCAAACTCCCTCTAAGACATGTCGTGACGGCACCTAGTCTCTACGACTAGGTAAGCCTAACAGATTGCGGAAATAATAATAATGGAAGCAAAACTAAACAGCTAACTGCATTAGATACTGAATAACCAATAATAATGCCGCTCGGCATATACAATAACCAAAACACTAGACGTACACAGTTTTCCAAAATCCGGAACATCATAAATCACAAGTTACAGAAGAAAACTAGTATCTCTATACACCAGAGTCTAATAAAAGAAGTAAGGAAGGTAAATGACATAGGAGGGAATAGAGGGGGACTCCGAGGTCTGCGGACGAGGCAGATATACCTTAAAGTCTCCGTACAGCAGCAAGCACTCTCAGCTAGTAGTTGGGCTGATAAAAAGTACCTGGATCTGCACACAAACAATGTGCAGAAGAGTAGTATGAGTACACCACAACGGTACCCAATAAGTGCCAAACCTAACCTCGGTAGAGTTGCGACGAGGTCAGGTCCAGGCCCTACTGGGATATAATAATAAGATAGATGCTATAATAAAAATGAAGTAAAACCGAGAAGACAACAACAAGTATTCACAAAGCAATAACGACACCACAAAATGGTATAACAACAGGGGCACTCCCGAGATATCGTCTCGTAGTCCCAAAAGTAAATATACAGGGAGAACTCCCGAGGTACCGCCTCGTAGTCTCAAAAGTAAATATGCAGGGAGAATTCCTAAGGAACCGCCTCGTAGTCTCAAAAGTAAATGTGCAGGGAGAACTCCCGAGGAACCGCCTCGTAGTCTCAAAAGTTAATGTGCAGGGAGAACTCCCAAGGAACCGTCTCGTAGTCTCAAAAGTAAATATGCAGGGAGAA